TATCATTCATTCTTCATTCATTCGATTATGAGCTTACTTTCATTCCCGCGGGAATCTTCGTCATCTGAGATGAAATTCGCGCTAAAAAAGATGGCGCGGCAAAAAATAAAATGCAGCCGCTTCAAAACTCCAAGCAATGCGCTTGAAAACCTGAAAGCAAACAATAAAAGCATTATAATAATAACAATCGTCATCACAACTCTTTCATTCTTCATCCATACCGAAAAAATAAAAGATTGAATAACTTCACAAAAATGCCAAGAAGAAGCTCCAAACGCAGTCTTGAAGTCATTGACAATGACGACGAAGAAGAGTATGAAACCACTAGCACCAATAACCACAAACGAGGAGGCGGCAGCAATCATAACTTTACCTTGTCCCAACAAGTCCCCGAAGCTTCTCAAGGAATTCCCAACGAGAAACCTTCCGAACGTAACAATTTGGAAAAGATGGACAAGGTGGCCAGAGCAAAGGCAGTCACTGATCTATCGAGACTCATCTTGTTCAAGGGCCTCGAGAAGGAACCCATTGATCGACTCAAAATCATCAAGGAGGCGGGATTGAATTCCATGAGAGCGTCCGGGGCCATTTTCAGTGAGGCCAGCGAGCGTTTGAGGAACATCTTTGGCATGGAACTCCGACGCATTCCCAAATACATGGAAGAGCGAAAGAGCACTCCGGCCAAATGCAAGGATCGCTATTATTTGCAAAACATTGCGTCCGACTATGACGGCTCCCACAGCCGCGAGATTCACAGCATTCACCAAGGATCCAAGATTGAAAATGGATTGGTCTTGCTCGTGAATGCGCTCATTTTTTGCAAGGGGGAATCTCGATCGGATGGTTCGCGATGGATCCTCGGCAGGGATCTTTACAGATTGCTCCACAGTGTGGACGATGCCGTACCTGGTGAACCACCCGCTCAAGGGTCCTCCCGAGCCAAGAGTCATAGTAAATGCAGCCGATTTCAGCAAAACAGCTTGACGCCCAATTTGGACGCCTTGATGGAACAGTTCATTGCCTGGGATTATTTCATCAAGGAACGGGCCACGGAAGATAACTTTGCTTCCCAATCGGTCGAAGATGGCGACTTCATCTATACGATGGGGCCTCGATCGGCCATTGAAATTGGTCGCAAACAAATCATTTACTTTTGTGCCGAAATTTTGGACGAAGAACCGGATCCAACCATGCTGAAGGAAGTAGAAGAAGATACTATGGAAGAAGAAGCTCTTGATGAAGTCTTTATGGAAGAGGCATAGTAAGAAAACAGTATGCACATGCACCATGCGTATAATTAATGGTACGTCTGCTGCTCGACAGACCCTATAACCTATAAAATGGCGGCCGACCATAATGTTGCAAATTCACCCACGGCCCTAAAATTAAGGTTTTCCCCATGCAAAAATCTTAGTCTAGGTCCTCCGCTTGCATACTATTGGGTGGGGCCATCGTGATTATGCGCTAGGGAGTGAGTCGAGTCAGTCTCTGCCTGGAGCCGAGAAGGTACTAATTGATGCTTCGGATAATTTTCACATTGAATGTTCATTTCTTGAATGCAGACATCTTATCATGGTAGGATGTTTCATGATCGTCGAGAGACAGTTTCAAATGAGAAGGGTTGTCGTCCTGATCAAGACTTGCTTGGGTCTTCATCTGGAGTGCTTCCATGAATACTGAATGCGAATGAATATTGTTGAGACTATGTTAGTGCTAATAAAAGGGTCAGTCAGACTAGTCGAGGATCACACGCACTCCACCATGCCATCGCCATGCCATGCCGTGCATGCCATATTCAATATGCTATGACACTTCCGACACGGTAGATATGATATGAAGAGATTGAGACCGTTGGAATGACAAAAAATCGTTATTACTTCGTGATCGTCCTATTTTTACGTCCAAAGTCTGCTGTGGCCTTTTCCAATAATGTCCATGTGATTCCTTCTATCGGTGATGCAATCCATCCACCCATGATACTGATCGGTGGCATGGCACAAACCAAGGCCTCTTGGGAGCATCAGTTGCCTTACTTGAGCAAGAATCGACAGGTGATTGTCTACGAGTGCATGGGGCAGGGCAAGAATAATAGTGATATTGAAGGGGATGCTGACAAGAATCATCAAGATGTCAGTCTAAAAGCCCAGGCTGAGAAACTGTTGGAGACCATCCAGAACGAGAATAATGAGATGAAAATTCAGACTCCAGTCGATTTGGTAGGTTTTTCGTTTGGGGCCCGAGTGGCCATGGCGACAATGACCCTTGCCAATGAAAGTAGCGAGAATAATTCACCACCTTGCAGTATTCGCAAGCTACACTTGACGGGTGTGGCCACAGATCGATCCGATTATGGACACTTGGCGGTACAAGCTTGGAAAGAATGCTTGCAGCAAGATCCTTCATTGCGATCCTTTGCTTGGTCGATTTTGATGGCAACTTATTCGCCGTCATTTCTTCGACGGCAACAAGAACGATCAATGCTGGGCCGATATGTGGATCACATTTCGACTCACAACTCAAGAGATGGTTTGCTGGCACTAATGGAACAAGCCGAAGTCAATGATCATGAGGATCCTTGGCATGTTGCCAACATGGCCGAACGTATGCCGCAATCATGCGAGGGAAGATTGTGCGTTGGGGAATTGGACCAAATGGCACCTGTTGAATATGCAAACGAGCTGTCCGAAAGGCTTGGTTGGGGCGCACCAACTGTCATTCCAAGGTGTGCTCACGCCGTGGCGGTGGAGGGTGCGAGAGATTGGAGGAAGAGTGTCCTAGAATTTCTGAATGGTGATAGAAGTAGATGACGAGTACCCGATCAATCTATCGATATTCAGATTGATGATTCAGAGAGGAAGGGAGGGCAAGGCGGGTTCCGCGGCAGCACTATCCATCATTCCGTTGTCGTATGATCTTGACAGGACGATAGAAAATGGCATAAACGGAGAAAAGATAGAATGAATCAGTCCTCCAATAGGTGGAGGACTGCAGAAGATGCTATGGTTGCCTATCTTTCAATTGATGCAGCATAGTAGTGTCAACTGCCTGCGATCAATTGGTATCAACCAACCACTTACCAAAACAGTCTACAGAAGTGAAAGAGCTATATAGTGCTGAGAAAATCAAACCTGAAAATGACAGAATAAGCAGATATCTACCTTATTTCGCCACGGCGGGGTAGCTGCAACTCTTCTTATTGGACCACAACAACACTCCTTTCTTGAAACCCCTTCCCTTCGTCCTGTGACTATAAGATAAAGATAGATTCTACTTCTCGCCGTCATTGTCATCCAATCATGTTATCATAGTGGTATGATTCTAAGTTTACAATGCTTTTTGTCATTGGATCACACCTTGGTGCATCGTGGATGGATACCGGTACATGTTGAATAATGGCCAAATTGAAAATACTGTGAGTCTGCGGTGTCTGTGCGCTGCCGCGCAAATCTCATCATCAACGCAGCTGACACAAAATTACACAGTAACCGTTGACACAATAAAACCGGGAGGCTGTTGAATACTCCTAGGAATCATAAGATACACATACGAGAGGATAGAGTATCAAAAAGACGTTACAATTCAACAGTCGTCGCAGTTTATACGACAGATAGGCCAAGAAAATAACAAGTTGAGCTTATGTCTGATCGGAGCGACGATGAATCGGATGGCAAGCCGGCTGCCAAGCGACTGCGAGTAGATTCCGATAGCCCTGCTTCATCTGCTGCTGATGCCGCGGTTGACCTAACTCATGACGATGAATCCGCAGGATCCGATTCTTCAGCACCAGGTAGCAAGGATCCCAAGATATGGGGCAACATTGAATTCATGAAAGTAATAAAGAAGTCACCCTACGAACCACCCAATGCCAGTGCGGAAGTGAGCGAGAAAGCATTCGACGAAGTGAAAAAGCTGCTCCTTCAACCAGACGATGGCAGCGCTGTTGTTCCTCAGGCAGCTCGATTGTTTGGGAGTCGGCTGGCGGAATCCCTTGTGACTGCCTTTTTTCAGATTGGTCGATCTGGGATGCTGTTCAGTCCACAATGGCAAGAAGGAAAGATACGTGGGGTAACAACTGGCTGGATTCCAAAGGCACTCTTGCTACTATGTTTGCACGAACAGCGCTTTGTCCGAGCCAACGAGGCAACACTCGCTGGAATCATCAAGGATTTGGGACTTTGCCAGATTGTTGGAGACTCCATCAACGAGTGGCGATTGGATCGCAAGTTCATCAATCTCAGCAGCAACACTGCCTATACCTTTACGAAAAATAAAGCAGTATGCTACAAATGCGAAATATTTGTGGCGAGGGCATTTCGCTGTGTCAAGGTACTCAAGTGGACGAGGTTCGAGCCGACGCTTTGGAAGAAAGTAATGGATTGTCTCACCATTATGAATGAACACGTGCGAGTGTCCAAGAATGGCGTGGCCAAGCGAATATCCGAATTGGACGAAGATGAGGTTCCAGTGGTCGTAGAAAAGAGGCCTGCAAAGAAAGCAGCAGCAAAGAAACAAAAAGAGACGGAGGCTACAGATATAGCAAACAGGATGCGACTGAGGGAAGAACGACATGAAAGTATGGATACATTGATAGGAATGTATGAAGAACATGCGAATCGCATGCAACATATATTGGTAGTCTTCAAGCGGAAGATGCGGGAAGAAAAGGAGGATAGAGATTCAATGATGAGTGACATGAGGGCGCAAATCCGAGAAGAAGAACGGCAGAAACTTCTTCAGGAGCAAAATGGTGTGAAACGCAAGTAAAATCCTATGATATGGCAAATTGTGTAGCTTTATTGGTTAATGCTACCACTAGTTTTGGGGTTTTCAGAACTGGGATTTAAAAAAATACATGCACTACAACTATTGTCGTCACTAAGAAGAGCTCAAAGCTGAAAGCTCAAGCTTCAAAGCTGAAAGCTTTTCCAATTGGTCAACTATGCGGTCTGTACTGTGTCCGTGCTGAGGCGAACCCGCTTTCATGCATTTTGCATTGTTAAGTCGGCGCATTTATTTATCGGCGATGGACGAGTACCGCACAAACATCTGGGAGCCCATCAATATTTGTATTGCTAGTAAAAGTTTCATTTACAGCCCCTTACAAGAGTTTTCGCTATCCCTAGTATCACCATTATCAAAAGTATAATCCATGGCACTATCGACAACAGGAAATCTGAGTGAGGCCAAAGCCGCCCCTAAGTCAGAAACCAAAGGTGGAGCTGGTGGTGCTGCCTTCAAATCCATCAGTCCAGCAAGGAGTCCCACGAAGGGCGGAGACTTTGATGTAGTGAAGGTATCACGCATTGCGAGTATTGCCATAAAACCTACGGGGGCTGGCAATGGTTATTCCTACCGATCGTCTCTTGGAGGTGGCAAGAAGGCGTTTCACAAGAACGAATCGAGCCCGAAGAAAGACAAAAGTAAGGAAAAGCAAATTCCTGAAAAAAAGGAAACCTACAGCAGTGTTGTAAGCAAAGGAAAGAACGAAGAAAAGACGGAATCAAGGACCAAGCAGAAAAGCAGTGGTGCATCCACCAACGAGAAGACAAAAAGCAGACAAACGACGAGATCTGAACACGAGAAAAGGAGCAGCAGCAGCAGCAGCAGTGTTGGCAAGAAAGATTCCTCCAAAGGCGACAAAACAGTTCGGAATAGAGCGATTCGAGAACTACAAGAAAGAGAAGAGGAGGAGGAATCATCTGATGAAGAAATCATCCCGGGCAATGATCCCATGGACATAGTCAGAGTTTCGCCTTATGAGGGGAATGCCAATGCTGAAAAGGAGGTCAAGCTATTCGAAGACTTACACAGCGTGCTGACCGAAGGCAGCATTAAGGCTTCCAAAATATTTGGAGAAGTGAATGCAAGAATAATGGTCCGAGCATACAGTAAGTTTGGAGTGAAATGCGACAAGGATCATATTGAGTTATTTTTGCCCCTGTGCGCTCACACGATTCTGAACTATTCTAATGCTACCATCACTAAGACCAAATTGATCAGTCTGGTATGGTTTACAGCCAAGAGTGGGTCGACGGAGTTATGCGTGGTAACCATGTTGGAGTACTTCCGAAGGACCTTTTGCTTCTTTGTTTGATCTCCAATCGGCTAACCAAGGTGGACGAATTCTTGATGGCTGGGTTGACAAGAGATTTGGAATTGATCAAGATTATCAAGGAAGCTGTTGAAGCCTGGGATCTCGAGGACGACTATAGGAAGGTAAGCGTGAAAAATTCGGCATCAATGTTATGGCTTTCTCCTCTGTTTTATTTCTCAACTCAATATCATTGTCATCAGATTGCTGGAACGTCGGGAACTCTGAAGAACTTTACCTTTAGTAGTAAACGACGACATTGCTTCAAATGCGAAATTTTTGTAGCGCGAGCGTACAGCTGCTATAAGGCGTTTGGTTCCAAGGGACGCGTGGATAAGTCACTCATGGCAAAGGTCCGCAAGTGCCTGGAAATCATGGAGTCTCGAGTGCCCCAGCCAAAAGGCAAGGACAGCAAAAAACGGAAAAAGAGTTTGGAGAAACCTGTTGTGATAGAGCCTCCTGTAGTGATGGAGCAACCAGTCAAGGAAGATCCTCCTCCTCCTCCAAAGCGAAAGCGAGGAAGACCTCCAAAGAAAATTGAGGTCGCAGCCCAAGCATTCGAGGAATCGGACGAGAGTGTGATGGATCATGATGATGATAATATGGTGGAAGTTCCTGTGGAAGTCGCCCCTCGATCGTCTATGGGCGGAGCAGCTACTAGTAACAACAGCAACAACTCGAAGAAACGTGCAAAGAAAGAACCAATGTCAGCCATTGACATTATCGCGAAATTTGAAGAGCAATACCATGGAGTAGGGAAAATGTATCTAGAAATGGGAAAGACTTTGGCGTTGCTGAAGAGTACCATAGAAGAAGACCAGTCAAATCGAGAGCAAGATATACGCGATGAAGTTCGAGGAGAACTCGTGGCAGAAATGCAAAAGCGAATCACCAAAAAATAATGTGGAAATCTCTAATACAAAATATTGGTAGTGGTTCGAAAACGACGATGATTGATTCTATGCAGTAATTCATGAGATAATGCCGCTGTGATCACCACTCTATATGATAATTTTAAAAAGGCTGTGTCACTACCGAAAATGAACGAGTCAATCAATCAATCAATCGATCAATCACTAATATCAATACCATTCTCAAGGTCTTTTCCATAGATGTCAAGTCGTTTGGCAGAGGAAAGAAAATTCAGCGTTTTGGCTTGCTCAAACAGGCCGAGTGCACCGCCCGTGTGCCAAAATAGAACATTCTTTCCCCGAAACTTTTCTCCTTCGTCCGTCTCCAGTACCTCCTGAACAAATTGATACAGAGCCTTTCCCGAATAGACTGGATCCAAGACAATCCCGGTCTCAACAGCAAATTTGGTAATGAAATCAAGTTCCTCGGGCGTGCTGACAGCATAACCAAGACCCTTCCCTTGATGAACCAGCAATGCCTTGCGTACAAAGTCTTCAGTGGATCCAGCATCTTTTCCTTCCTGATGAAAGCCCATTTCATCTGCTATTTTGGCGACATGTCCATAAAAGTAGTCTGGACTATCGCACACCCCAATGGCATGAATCCCAGGTGGTGCACCTTTGTTCGTGTCTTGATGAGCCAGCGCCAACCCAAGACCAATCCCAGCAGCTGTGCCCCCACTTCCACAAGCAAATACAACGTGATCTAAAGAAGGTTCCGATTCGATCGATCCCCACTGTGCTAGCATCTCTTCTACTCCATTGATGTATCCCCAAGTACCGATACCATTGGATCCTCCAACTGGGATGGGATATGGTTTGCATTCACCATCTCTTTGAGTCAAATGTTTGCAAAGTCTGGATACCATTTCCTGGGACCCCATGCGTCCATATTCTCCAGGAGTACAGGTGTAAATCTGGCTCCCGACCATGCGGTCAAACAAAACATTTCCGGTAAATCCGATCTCGTTGGGATCTTTTTGTACGTTGTCGGCGCGTTTGGTCCTCAAAATCAAGTGAGGTCCCAGTCCCACCATACGAGCTGCCGCGGCTGTAGCACGGCAGTGATTGCTTTGTTCTCCTCCAATGGTCACGACTGCGGTGTAGTCTCGTGCCAAGGCATCCGCCAATAGAAATTCTAATTTCCTTATCTTGTTTCCTCCCGTTTCGACGCCTCCGGACATGTCATCACGCTTGACGTACAAGGATATACCCATTGCTTCCAACTTTTTGAGTATTGATGAATCGTCATGATTTGCCTTGGAGCTTAGTTTGTACAACGGAGTGGGTAAATTTGACAGCTGAAGTCTACCATGTTTGGGAAATTTGGAAAAGGAATCCTTGGCCCATACGGGCGGAGTGTAATCAAAGCTTTGGGACAAATCATGTCCACACATGGCATTTGTTTTGAAAGTCATGACAGAAAAGGCTACGGCTGTTTGCAAGTTCAAGCTTTTCATTACCTTCCGACGCGAAAGAAGTAGCGGTCGGGTTGTTGTTATTATTGTCATGAAATGGCGTTGATGTTTCCTGGAAGGATGGATGATGAAAGATTTGGATATGATTCGGAGTACTCAGAAAGGCCCACCCCCAAGAAGTACTGTACACTACACGTACCGTACGCAGAAACGCGCAATAATTTTTCGAAAATCTTGGCATGTGGCGTCGAAAAGTTTAGGTAGCATTTGTGTCGAGCTATTTAGAGAAAGAGACAGCACGACTTATCAACTCCAACGATATTTCGATCAGACCGCCTTCGAATTAGCAAAAATCCACGATCGATGGGCAATTTCGTCGTTCTCCTAGTTCTTCACCTTCCCACACCCCAAACTGAAAACCCATTCCATCGCATCCACATTGTTAAATTTCGCGACATCCGCACCTCCACACACTATACAAAGAATATGTTCAAGTCCCTTTTCATTCTCCTTACCGCAACAGCTCTTCTTGTAGCTCCATCTGTCGCTTCCGACGAACATGTAAGTCAATCCAATTGGAACTGATGGAAAACTTGGCGAAAGTGCAGCGACAGCAACAGCAACAGCAACTGAAAACTAATCAAATTGCAACTCTTCTCCATCTTCGACTACTATCACTACTACTATTACTATCATTCACAGGAACGACGACTACAATTGGTACTGGGAAACCTGATGGATCCATTCCGCCCAGAAGAAGACGTTTGTGAAAATGGAAAAGATGCGGATGGTGTTCCACAACTCGGACCCTGCGATTTGTTGAAATTCCCAACCTGCCCCACGGACCACGAATTCTGCTTCAACCGCAAGCCATCCAGAGACGAGTTCTTTGATGACATTCATCAACCCAAGTTTTACATTCAATATGATAGAATTTTGTGCTATCCAACAGGATGGGCTTGCAGTTCTTGCACACCTGGACGTTACTGTTCGAGTGAAAAGAGATGCATCATGGAGGACCGAGAGTACGAATGTGCCCAGTGGTTGTAAAAAAGCTGCTGTTGATTGAATTTAATTGTGTTTCATAAATTTAATGTAGGCATAGATATATTATATTATATTATATTATATATATACGAACACGATAGAAAATACCATGGGGAGGAATGAAACCTAGTGAACGATATTATACGGTATCAGAAAATATCCAATTTTCAATGAAACGAAAGATACGGCCATACGAATGAATGTGTTGGTAGGTGGGGCGGCAAAGCAGCTGATGCCCAAGTTGAGAGATGCCATGTCGCATTCGCAGTCTCTCTATCCTTGTTCAATATCGTTTCTGCTCAATCATATAGCATAAAAGAAATTACCATAGATTCATTGTTTGCTCGTTTTTCTCCATCCATTTTACTCTCTTCAAAACCACAATCTCAGTCTATAGGCATCTCCCCAGTTCAAGTAGTATCGTACCAACTTTTCCTCGCGAATGAATCCAAAAGACCTTTGATATAATTTCTGTGCTGTCACATTTGACATTTCTGATAGTAGTAGTCAGTATTTAGTTTGCAAACATGATGAGTGAGTGAGATTGATTGATTGATTCATTCATTCGTTCATGATAGCGATTAGAAATCACATCCTCCACAACCTTTTGCACTCACCTGTTTCCAACATTACAGATTCACACTTCATTGCTTTCATCCGTTCCAATACCTTTCGTACCAGAGACTTTCCGATTCCTCTTCGGCGATAGGAGGATTGCACAGCCAGCATGCCAATATAACCTGTTTTCATCATTCTTTGTTCTCCATTTTGTATCGCTTCTTCTTGGTCAATCTTGCAGACCACGCAACCAATTGGTTTCCCATCGTCTACTGCGAGTATGCAAAGCTCTGGAAAACGATGTAGAAAGTATCGATAGGTGAAGACTGGCATTGTTGTTGTTGTTGTTCCATGGGCGAGAGAGAGAGAGAGAGAAAAGAGAAAAAAAGAGAATTAGTGTCAGTGTATCCCTTGGAAAACACTTGAAATGATGATACGCACTTGAATATGGCTCTGAAAGATCCTTTGTCACAAGCTGCATTACGGCGTCAAGCTGAGACTCGTCCAAATAGTCTTGGAATTCAATGGTGGGGTCGTCTTCGGATGATTTCTTTTCTTTCATATTTGTCCTTTTCTGTACTGTTCGTTGGAGATACCGTATTATTATCAGCAAAAGTTCTCTTTATTGAAAGACGGCTTCGAGATTGGTGCTTTTCACTTTGTGCTTTGTCTGGAGCACTCTGTAGTGGTGTGTCATCGTTGGGGTTTGGAGGGAAATTTCCGTCCGCCCGGCGACCGAATTTGTTTTGAGACAAATGATTCAAACAACACCCGGATGTGAATTCCGAAGAAAAGAAAACCCAGATGTGATGTGGTCCGAAGGCAAATTGAACAAGAATGGTTTTTGGCTCCAATCCAATTTCAAAAACTGACGCACGTTAATTCGCGACTACCGGTCCACACTTTTTTTGTGTCATTCGATAGATGAAAATATTGGGTCTGACGTGGAGATTTCTGTGTAGATCCAGTACTTCCACCCATCACTGGCGAGCTTCTGATTCGTTGGTTTTTTCTTGCGATGAAAACCTTTCCGATCGGATTCCCACATTCTCAAAAAGAACTTGCAGACCCAGCTAGATCGAACGAAAAGACAACATAAAAATCCAAAAAGAGAACAGAACGACATCAAAAGACAAGAATCAACAGCAACAACAACAACAACAAAATGCCTTCTATGCTATCTCGACCTGAACTTTCTAGACGGCCTCGTAAGCTCTACAATCAGAGCTCGATGAAGAACTCGAGCGGAAAGCTTTCGCAAGGATCACCTGCACTCTCAACTCGTAGTAGCGGCAGTGCTGCCATGCACAGCAACAGTAGTTCTGGTGGATCCAGTCCGAAGCGATCTTCGTACTACTATCTTGATTCTTCTACCATCCCACTCTCGATTGAATCGACACAAATCCCTCGTGTGGAATCCGAAACCAGTGAATCATGGGGACACTTTGTCGACATGTAAACGAAGGATATATTCTCTTTTTTTCCCGTCCATTGATTGATATGGGCATGCAATGAATGACATACACGTTCTATGTTATCTGGTGTTATCCCATTATCATCACCACCATCACACCGCAAACGCGGTCGCTTTCCGGAATCCTAGCTCGAATCATTTTGGTCTCTTTTGGAAAACAAAAGGCCGGAACATTCCATCACACATCATGATAACCTTTTTGAAATCGCACTCGTTGGAGAATTCGCGAATAACACACCATGATGTGAAGAAGAGATCATAATGCTCAGCTAATGTCAATAATATGTACAAGTTAGAATGAATCAGTATTTCAAATGATCCCACAACCTTGTTGAACTTGTTTGGCGATGGGAGAATAGAATGAATCATCATTGTCGTATCATAATTTGCTTTGTTACGAGTTCCTTCACGAGCTACTGTAGCTCATCGAATCCAGTGTCATGCCTCTGTTGAAACGATAGGCTAGTGTACTTGACCAGTCGATACGTTGCTCTTCGATCTTTCGGTACCAGGGGTACCTGATATGGTACAGCACCAGTACCTTTCCACGTCAACCTCACATCACGTAACAAACCTTCTTTGCGAAAATGGAAAAAGGTGTACCAACCGTGACTCACTGACTGCACCACCAAGTCAGTCCCGGTCAGATTTAACGGTACGTATTTTTAGAGAGGCGTTTGAGTTCCTACCACCGTATCTAATTTTCGAATTTTAGATGTCAAGTCCACGATGTTGCAACTCGCCACGTCTATCAGAGGTACAGTACAGGACTGTGCGATATCTGACATCATCATGAATTGATTGATTGATTCTTTCTTTCTTTCTTTCTTTGTGAATGCAAAATGACTGACTGCTGCAAGTGAATGGTGGTGAGGAAAGTGAGTCAGTATTAGTCTACAGCGGTTCTGGTAACATTTATAATACTAGCTACCTGGCACTACTGCGGTACTATTAATACATTTTCCATGTATATTTATGCTGGTGGGAAGTGCCCAGTTTTTCCCAAATTTGTATTTTGAATTAGGTATAAAACATTAGGTAACATATGTGAAATGTATTATGATAGCAATAGAACTATTGAATCATAATTCCCAAACAGAATAGTTGTTCTGCCATTTTTCTTTATTAAAAAGGCCTTCCATCGCAATCCACGCAACAGTTTTCTTCTTCGCAGCACTTGCACTCTAATTCGGTACAATCGACAACAAAGAGGCCCAATTTGCAAAAGTCCTTCTTTTTTATTTCTCCCGAGAAATCATTGAATTGAAGTTCCAGGTTTTCGAGGCTGCGCATTTTGGAAAAGTCTTCTGGAATTTCTCCCGTCAAATTATTGTTCTTGAGACTAAGGGTGACCAAGGAATCCATATTGGTCAGAGCTTCCGGGAGCTGACCCACCAACTGATTGCGGGGAAGGTGGAGCGTCTCGAGCTGCTGCAGGTTTTCCAATTCCACCGGAATGGTTCCGGAATGTTGGTTGCGGCCCAATCGCATGGATACTGTTGTTGTTGTTGTTGTTGTAATTTGTGCAAGGATAAAAGAGTGTGAGTTATTGCGCAAGAACAGCAACTACTTCAAGTGCTTCATATCAATGTATACGTACATAGTCGTTCCATGTTCCCCAATTCCGTGGGCAAGCTCCCCACCATGTTATTGTTGTGGGTTCGTAGCCGTTCCAGTTGTGTCAAGAGTCCAAATTCAGTAGGAATGCTTCCGTAAATGGCATTGTTGGTGACTACCAAATGAGTCAAGCTATCTCTCAAGAGGGCAATCTCCGGACCAAATTCCCCCTCCAATTCAAAATTTTCCAAATGAATCGAACTGGCCAGTCCATTGCCATTGCACAGAGTTTCACTGGAAACGGTCCATTCGCAAAAGTCCGTGTAGGTCATCCAGGTAGTTTCCATGGGATTCGTGTCCATGTCCTTGGTCAAACCCTTGTACAGACAACTCAAGGCAAAACGTTGTAGAATGACTTGGTCCGAGTACGAACTCAAATTGGGATCCTTGGCCAACCATTGGACCACTTGGTAGGCATTCGAAGATTCGTCTCGAGCTTCAATGTCAATCATGGTATCCAATGGCATGTTGGGTGCATTGATCAACGTTTCAATAAGGGCTTCCGACATGCTCTCCGTGGGGCTGAGAGTGGTTGGAGCCATGGTAGGTTCGGGGGTGGTTGGAGCCATGGTAGGTTCGGAGGTAGTGGGCGACCCAGTGGGTTCTGGTGTGTCCATGACAGTAGGAGCCGTGGTGGTGGGTTGGCCCGTGGGGGGTAGACTGGGTTCCGTGGTGGGCAGTGGAATCATGGTCGTTGGTTGGCCCGTGGGGAGTGCCGTACGAGTCGGCCCCGTGGACAAGGCTCCGGTGGGAGCCATGGTAGGTTCCATAGTAGTTGGACTGGGTGTTGCGACGGAAGGCACCAAGGATGGAAAATCCGAAGGTGTGACGGATGGGGTTCCCGTAGGAGCATTGCTGAGAGACGGGGCTGCGGATAGACTGGGTGCAGTGCTGGGAACGGGGGTGGATTCAGTGGGAGCTCCAGTGCGAATATCAAACTCGAATTCGCTGCCATTGTCAGAGGCTCCTCCAGAAGAAGATTGAAGATCACTGCTGCTACTGCCGCGTGGGACACCTGCGGCACTGGCTCCTTTTTCTTCCCGAATGTCGTAGTAATTCATCCCCAATACAATCACCGCAGCAATCAAAAAGGATCCCAAACAAGCTGCCACCATAACGACTTTCCAGAACCGCTTAGAAAATCGATTTCCTTCTTCAAAATCTTTATAGTATAGAGCGTCATTCTCCGCACCCTTCTCTGGACTTTCCGGTGCCGTGTTGGTTGGTGAAGACGACTTGCCAAACATGCTTTTTGGTTTGCTGTTAGCCTCAGGAGTCTGCAAGTCTGGGAATATTTGATTGCTACTGCCGTCTCTATTCACTTTTCGAGGAGGTGACATGCGATTGTCCTTGAAAAAGGTTTCATTGGCCACCGTGTCGTTGGCCAAGGTGCTGACATCTTCTTCATCGTCGAAATATTCTGGTTGCTGACTGGCAATACTCAACAAATTGTCATTCGTCACTCGATGGACGGGTGAACTTGCAAGTGGCGGAGCATGATCTCCCATTCCTAGCATTTCGTCCATTTCCTTGTCATCCTTACGGCTCCAGGAAGGTTCCTCCGCAGCAATCGGTGGGGTTTGAACGGAAGACGAGGATTGATCTCCTTTTTCAGACTCCTTTTCGGCTTCCACATTCTTGGTTAGCCAGCGATCGTTTGGAGAAAACATTTTGCAGGTAGTATATTATGATTGTGGTATCAGCAGGAACAATTGAATAATACTGCAAGGACTGTTGATCTATCTTATTATCGTTCCAATACTGAAAGACGGTTTTGTGTTCTGGTGAAAACCGATGAGATGGTTTTAAAAGGTTGGACGGTTGGAGGGAGTAGCTCTAGGTAGGTAGGAAGAGTGGTGTGCGTACACATGGGCCGGACAGCCGGCAGCACAAAAAGGCGCCGTTGCCGCCAGTTTACATAGAAAGACGGTACGCTTGAATGACCTCGTACATAACGAAAAATTCAAGTTTCAAATTCTTCGGACGGGCGGGAAACGTTACAAGAATTCCGGTCTGTCTGTCATTTATCTGTTTCACACGACACCCAAAAACCGAAACCTCAAAATCTGAAACGGCTTTGTGGGACTGAATGCTTCCATCAAGGATCAGATGAGTCGATAACACTATCCAAACTGACATGTCGACAGTTGGAAGTGACAACCAACACATGAATGCTTCGAACATTTGACGACCCTTTATGACGGGACTGTAAGAACTATGAGCGTTGAAGAAATGAACGAATGAAGCATCCAATGAATGAATGAATGAATCAATCAATCAATCCATCAATCCATCAAACGCTTCCTATCAATATCGTCCACCTGTCGGTGGTTGTCGGAGAGGAGATTACGATACAGCACAGACTAGATCAATCTTTGTGTGATGATGGCAAGCCTCCCAAGCTAAAAGTGTCTAGTCGCCAACAACAAAAAGAGACTCTCATTGATGATTCATTCATTCTATCCTTTCGAAGAAAACTTCCTGAACTACCGTCCACCAAACTGGGCAACGATTGAAATTTTTGACCATTTCTTGGCGGATGACGTCTTGAAAAATACTGGAATGCCAGAAAAGGTTGATTGGTTTAACCTTTCTCCACCACACCAGAATTGACCATTCAAATCTATTTGGAAAGTAGAAAAAGATGGAAGAAAAAAAAGACATTTTAGTAGAACTCAATCGCAACGCATGAAACTCACCATTACATTCTACCTTACACATACAGTTCACGTGCTAGAAAGCTTCGAAACGGAAGCCATTCTACAGTACTCTTTGGTTTTATAAAAATAAATATTAAATATCAGCAAAGAGTGCTACAAAATAGTGATGCTTGTATTGCTTTATTAAAAAACATCTCCTACAATTAATAGCCAAGTCTGCTTTCATAATTTTAAAAAGAGACAAAGCCTGCTTCTATGACATCATGTCGTCGTCGCCTTTGAAATCTCCAAAATCATCCATTCCATCCATTCCACCCATGGGGTTCTTGTCCAGTTCTCCATTGCGTTGCTTCAACATGGTTTCTCCAATCATCTTGCGCATCTCGTCATCCCCACTCTCGTACATGTCCTTCATCAAATCGGTAATGGACGACATGGGATTGCTGCTCTTAGTCTTTTGCTTTTTGCTGTCGTGCTTCTTGGGGTCGGTCAATTTGGTCCACATGTCAAAGCCATAATCTCCCTTGATTTTGTGCAACTTGATAACGACCTTGTCGGCCTTGACAATCTTTTTGGATTTGTTCTCATCAATGTCCTTTTCCAAACTATCCTTACAGAGTCGGTAGGATTTGCCATCGAGGCCTCGGACAATCAAATCAAAGGAATCCTTTGTGAACTGGCAGGTAATTTGTTCTTTGGGAATGCTTCCGACACCGGGCAAGGGGACGTAGACTGTAACAAATTTGCTTTCGTATTCACCTGGATCAAAGGAAAACCGATCGACTGTGGTGTACTTGACGGACGAGGCACCAGAAGGTGCGGGCAAAGGAGTCGCATCCACCTTGGCAACGACGGGTGCGGGAGCTGGTGCGGGAGCTGGTGTGGGAGCTGGTGCGGGAGTGGGAGTGGATTCAGCAGGTTCAGAGCTTGTTTCTGTTGGTGTTGTTGCTGGTTCTGTAGAAGCTCCAGCCGTCTTTTGGCTTTGTTCCACTCGCTTCAAGGCAGCAGCCTCCTTGCGGAGCTTCTTGGCCAAGGATTCCAGTTGCATGCGAGCACCTGGTCTCTCTAGTTTGGCAGCAGCTTGTTCAATTTCCTTGGCATCCAACAGCCGTTCGTCGGATGGAGCCAATGGTTCTTCTGATAGGACCTCAATCAGAGCCATTGCAAAGTAGTGTTAAAGTATTGTGTTTTCGAATGGAATCGAGATGGAAAATGAGAAAGATGGTGTATTTTATTGCTTGGTGGTTGTTGATGGAGGTCTATTTTCTTCTATCGGACACCTTTGACGGACACATTTCGTCAGCCTCATTCATCATCATCATCATCACGAAACGCGGAATGTAATTTTTGTAGTCACTTCAATTGCACTTGACAAAAGGACAATGAGAACCTCTGTATTGCTACTCCTTGTGCTTCTCGCA